AACCCTATAGGCTCAGCCCATGCCTTCTTTGTTCTTCAGCACTGATTTGGGGAGGTGCGAAATAAACGACCTCGCCAATAATGGAGCACAACACATCAAGGTTCCCCGCTTTCGAGTTGTACGGGCATAAAGCTGATGAAGAATGTCACCCAAGAGAGTGGGTACAGGATTACGAGAGATGAAGATTTTCACGGCATTCACATCAACAAAAGATTCAGGGTTCGGAAACAATACCAAGCCATATATCAGAAGAGCCAGAATATCTTCAAATGCCTTGAAGTCTAGACTATCCCAGAAATAATTAGCCTTACCAACCAAGAACTTAGTCAGAAAGCCCTTTGCTTCACTTCTAGTCTCCCAATTAGCCATTACCTCATCCTTGGTCATATGAAGGGATGAAGCAATCTCTTCTGGCCTAAGGATTTTCTCCCAACCAGTAAACGGGGTCTGCTCCAGAATAGAGATACCGAGCAGATCAGAGAACCCTTCTAAGGTGGGAACCAACTGGTAGTCCTGGAAAGTAAAGCAATGGTACAGCGGATCATAGAATTGGACCAAAACACTCATCATCTTCTCGTCCAATTTGGAGGTGACCAAACTGAGAAGATACCCATGTCTTCTGATGAAGGAGGTAGTATCAGGCATATTTGCAACCAATTCTTTAAGCATGGTGGGAACCTGGACAAAGTTGATCCGGATGGTATTCCTACGCATGGGCGTCATGACCTACAAAACAGAACAAAGATGAATCCCTCTTGTCTTTGAAATAGGTTAGTCCATTGCAAGATGTATTCAATGTTATGATGTCATGATATCATGATAGAAAGCACATCACAAGTATCCACAAATAGCAAACATGGTAAAGGCACACAAGTCACAAAGAGAGCCCTTAGATTTCAGGCTGGCAAGGAGCTTAGGTACTACCCTCTTTCAGTTCAGTTGGTTCAAACCTGTCCTAAAAATAGTAACCGGGTTCTAGAGGATCTCAATATCACTGACTACCCTCGATCGGTCATAATTCCAGTTTAGCAACCTTTTCTTGCAGCCAGAATCATCGCGAGAGTTTAGTCTCAATGAGTGTAGCATACTGCTACTGTTCTATGGCCAAGTTGGTCAATTTAAAGGTTCTAAGGTCAGTTGGTGCTTAATGACCCCTTAGCAGACCCATATTCTCCTCGTTGCACCACAAGGGATATCGATACATACTAAAGTGCCACACCAACGTAGATACTGCTTCAACCGTATCGGTCTACGCCGTACAGTTCCCTCACAGTTTATTGCTACTTACCTAAAGGGTATCCCCCAGATCCAGGTTAGGATCTATAGTAACTCCGATACAAGCCCACAAATATATACAAGTCAAGCAATTGAAAACATTATGAATTATTCCTAAGGTACACCCCACTTATTAAGATATCCCCAGCAGAGTCGCCAGTTCTGTGATACGGTGGGAGAAAACTAACTGTTTTTTGAAATGTTGGTTTGCGTTTTGCGTTTGTTTTAGCAAAATGTCGCGGTAAGCAAGAGTCACCACCGTCTTTTATTTTGTCCAACAAGGAAAGGAAAAAAGCACAGAAAAATTCCTTTTTCGAGATGTTTCTCGGGTTCGGGGGGTAGATTATAGAAAGGGAAGGTTTTAGCACCCTTTCTATCCGTGGTTATCCACGGGCTCTTAGGTACTTGCTCATAATGTTTTCAAAATTTGATTTTCTTTGTGTTTGTGGGTTTGAAGAAGTTTTTGTTTTGAAAGGAGTGTAAGTGCGAAAATTTGTTTTATTTTGAAAGAGTAAGTACTTAAGAACCATTTACCTACTTGAAAAAAGGAATCAATCTGTGCTAATGTCCTTTAGACAATGTTATCCCACTATTAATGAGTAGGTAGCATCGTCGTTGGAGTTTTAAGGGTCAATTCGATTAAGGGACGTGTGGTCACTAAAGCAATGTTAGGACGCCTTAGCGGTAACCCTAATGTCTTAGATCATTTTTTCCGAGGCAACCGTTTCGAGGCAACTATGATCTTTGGACGAGAGGGCGACCTTTAAAACTTCCTATACTTAATGACCGCGTATGAAGGCAACCAAGCGAGGCGTACCCTAAGAGTGCGCATGTGCGAGTATGTTGTTTTCACACTTTTTTGTCAATTTTTCAAGTTTGGTTCATGGTGTTCTTGCAGCCTCTAGGTCTCAAATTCGTGTGCCTTGGATTGTATATGTATGCTGCAATGTATTAGGTCAACAAATTGGTCTTAAATCTTTGCACATCAATGCTTTGAGATTGGATTTGATCCTCCATTGAAAACTTGCTTAATTTGCCAAAAATCCAATCTTTTTGCACATGGAATGATTGATACGAATTTGATCATGACATTGATGATGATTAGGTCCTGAAAATAGAAAAAGATCTCATGTAATCAAGTTTTGAGATTTTATTTGATTTAAAATGAAATAATTCAATAAAAAATCAAATAAAATAGAAAAATTGATAAATGGACACAAGGCTGAAGATAGGACACGTGTGGAATGTGGCAAGCCCAAATCAAGTGGAAAAGAATGGGCCCATTTGACAAAATTTGAAGTTTTTGGGGTAGTTGACTTTTGGCAATTTTGCAAAAATGCCCAACTTCAACAATGCATAACTTCTTCAATTTTGAACTTTTGAAAGTGTTATTGGGCTTTTTAGAAAGCTTGAGATGTCATATAAACAACCCTTTTGGTCTCATCTCATTTTTATATTCCATGCTCAAGTTATAAGCTTTGGCAAAAAATGTGTTTTTATTGACTTTCAAAAATGACCTATAATGTCCAAATTTATAACTTCTTGTGAGTGCATTTTCTGATCTTGGGGTATGAAGATGGATTGTAGGAAATTGCATCCTTTTAAAAATGAGCTTTGGATGGGTCATTTATCATAAAGTATGAGAAAGTTATGCTTGGTCAAATTTGAGTTGACTTTTCCTATAAAATCCTAATTTAGCAACTTTTGAGTCTTGATGAATTTTGAGCAATCCTTGATGAATCATGATCAACCCTTGATCAAATGATTAAATATCCTTCAAAATGAGAATGTTGACAAAAAATCTTGAAGTTTGACTATTTGAAGGTCACAGTTGACTTTTGCCCTAGCACAGTCGATTTTTGGACCCTTTGAGCAATTGACTGAGCAAACTTCCTCTACAAGGCTTGAAATTTGGCATGGATGATCTTGAGAGCATATTAGGACATTGGGGAGCACTTGAGGTCATTTGGATTCAAGGATCTTGATGCAACACAAAACCCTAATTTAAGGTTGACTGCCTTAGGAGATAGCTTGATTGTCCAACTCTTGAGCAAACTTGAGCAACTTGGAGATTTTTCTTGAAATGTTTTGAGAAATATGATAGGGAAATGGGGTACAACGGGATCTTTACAAGAATAAACCAAAGCATAACCCACAAATGTAAAGCAAACAAGGAAAACAAGATAAAGCGGTGAAGGTGACCTAGATCTTAAGGTAGCCCCAGTTTTGGTGATCCCCCCAGCAGAGTCGCCAGTTCTATAATACGGTGGAAGAACTGACTTTACTGGTTTTGCATTTTATCGTAAATGTTGCGGATAACAAGAGTCGCCATCAAATTTTCTTTTATCCAATAAAGGAAAGGGTGAAAAGGACAAGAAAGGCCTTTTGAGAATTTTCTTGATTTCGGGGGGGGGTAGATTATGAAAAGGGAAGGTGTTAGCACCCTTTTCATCCGCAGTTATCTACGGGCTCTTAATTGCTAGCTCACTTTGGAATGCTTTGTGTTTTGTCTAAGTTTTGAACATATTTTGAAAATGCCATCGTTCAGAAAACTTTGTAATGAGAATGTATACAAAGTATTGGTTTTGAAAATATTTGTTGTTTGGAAAGTGTTTGAAAGATGTTTTTTGAAAGTCTGAGACGTGAAGATTATTTTGATTTATGAGCAAGCAATTATGAGAAATTTTGACGACTCAAAAAGTCTTTGTTCTTTTTGTCCTTCTTTAGATAGTGTTATCCTACCATTGATTGGTAGGAAGCCCTATTATTGGATGTGGGGGACAGGCGTGGGTCGTCGTACAGTCATAGAAGGCAACTTGTGAGACGCTTTAGCAATTGTCGTAAGGGACTCAGATCGTTTTAGCGAAGGAAACATCGAAGGTTCATCGAGAGACTATGATATTTTTTATTTTAAATCAAGGGTCTTTCCTAAAGCGTTCCATGTTCGAGGGACATGACTGTTTTTCCGAGGAAACAAGTGAGGTTACCCTATAGGTACGCGTGTGAAAAGTTTGTTTGATTCAAGTTTAATTTGTATTGGTTTAGGGTTGTCTAGCCGTTGATTTTAAATCTTACCATACACGCCTAATTACTATACAATATAAGGAAATGCGGTAAAGTGCGTAAAAATAAAATTCTACACTATTATAATGCTTCGGGAATGAAGGTACACATTTATGAATGAGGATGAAGTAAAATGAGCCTAGTTAAACTATTTACAAACTATAAGCAATTACAATAATCGAAAGAATGTGGAAAATAGTAAACTACGAGCAAATGAAAAGGAAAAGAAAATTATTTTTGTTTAGTGTGTTTTTGATAGAAAAGAAAGTAAAAAAATAAAAATAGAATAAAGATGTAACTAAGACAAAAGTTATTTAGACTAAAATTCTAAGATTATCAAAATTAAAACTCTAAAGTTTATTAAATTAAATCTAAACTAAATTAATTCTAAGATTATTAAAATAATTCTAAATTAATTATTAAAAAAACTCAAGCTATTAAAATAAATCTGAACTAAACTAAAATTCTAAAATTACTAAATAAAAAAAAATTAGACTAAATTAAAAATTTAAAATTGTCAAATTAAATCTAAACTAAATAAAAATTCTAAAATTACTAAATTAATATAAAAAAAGGGTGGTGTTAAAACAGAAAATAGGATGTAGCAGTAGCAATACGCATGGGCTTAAAACAGCAGGCCCAAGGTGGTTCTCTTAATTTTAATGAAACAGAAAAGGGCAGGATGGGAGGTGCAAACAGATGGGGTGATGGGCTTGAGGATGATGGGGCGGAGGCCTAATGGATTTTTACAAAACTATTGGGCTCGGGTTAGTGTTGTTAGGCCCAGGATGGTAAGGGAGCACAAAGAAAATCCTGGAGATGTTTTTAACAATGCCAGCCGCTCAAACCCTTCTATTCATCCACGTTTTTTTTCTCTTATAATTTCCTCTGTTTCTCAACCTTCTGGAAAATATTTTCTCTCTTCATCATTCAATATAACAACAATACTATCTACTTTTCATCCATTCGAATCTATCACGGTGCGGCTCCACCTTCCCATTCCATGTCGCGACTCTTCCACAAAAACTCAAACACTCACACAAAATCGTGAGCTTTGGCGATGACGCAATCACCAAAAATGACGGTTGCAGCGAGTTCGCAACTTTAAGATGAAGATACTTCCCAACGCGTGTGTGCGACGTGGCAAGATCTGACGCGTCTGACACGTTGATGGTCACGTGGAATAGCAACTCAACGGCTGGTTCAATTTGGGAGAGAGGTGATAGGGTCCAGGCTATGGTGTCTTGATGTACGGTGGCAGATATAGTTGCGAATTGGCAACGGAGACGGTGGTTGGGGAGTTTAGATTGAGGCGGTGTAGGATGGATATGGGAAAAGGGGAGGGGCTAAAGTACACATGGGAATGGAGGGTAATAGAATGAAGCAGTGTGAATGAAGAAAAAAGAGGGTTGGGTTTTGGAATTATAAGTGATGACTATTTGGATGGTTTTCTGAAGGATATGTAGAGAAATCTTTTCTCTATTTCTTCACCAGTTCTTATTTTAAAAACAACATACTCAACTTCAAAAAAAATTCTCACAAATAGCAACAATGATTACAGCTTCTCTAAGGGACAAGAAAATCAATAGTCCTCTGGCTTCTATGGTTTTCACTCAGTTAACACAACATACAGAAGCAAACAATAACAATGATTCACATACAAACAACAATATAACACAACGAGTATTTGAAGAATAAAGAGGATGACACTCAAATGCTAGGAGCCGGTCTGAGATTTTGATTCTGATGCCGATGATGGACCACGAAGACTAGAGGTAATGATTAATGCTTCCTTCTTTGAGTTTTTTTTCTTCTGAAATGCGTATGGTTTGTATTTGAATGAGGTTATATGTTGTTGCGGTTCGATGGTGGTGAATGGGGTCTTCTTGGAAAGGTCAGTGAATGGAGGAGTATGGGGCGGTAGTTGAGGATTTTATTTTGATGTTGAAAGTATAAGAAGAGGTTTATTGAGAAATAGGTAAAGAGAAGTATGTTATTCTGTATGTGAACAAAATCGTGAATTGCAAGTTGAGTTAATTTCTTCTTAGGTTTTTGCTTCACATAACTCCTCCCCTTACTATTTGATCAAAAGTTTTTTTTATAGGTGAATGGAGTGAGATTTTGGGGGGAATGTTTGGTAACTTTGAATTGTTTTGACGTGCTATTTTATTGCTTTTTGAATGCAGTTTCTGTTTTGCTAATTCTGCGTAATCTTTGGCCTAATCTTGACAGATTTTGGAGCAGCAACACAAAGGCTTTGATGCAGGTTTTATGCAGCAGTAGCAGGGCTGTTTTGTAGTGGTGCAGGGCAGAAAATGCAGGTTTTGGACTTGTCACGGTTTTGGCAGCAAGGTGCAGTAGGTATTCTTGATAGAGTTTTTGTTTTTTGCTTATTTTATGACATCTTTGGCTGTTTATTGCAGTAATTTTGACAGTGTTAGCAAGCTTATTTTTGGAGGTATTGTTAGTTTGGAGAGGGACTGGTTTTGCAAGGTTATTTGTACGTACTGTCTTTATTACTTTCCATATTTTCCTTCAGATTTTTCTGTTTTCAAGTGTGCAGAGGGCTGCATATGCTTGCATTATTTTATGGTTAAGTGCATGTTATGGTAATGGCAATAGGGCAGTAACATGGTTCGTGTAGGGTATTTGCAAGGTTTGTAACAACTTTGGCATTCTTAAAGCAAGTGGACAACATAGCAATATGGTGATTAAGACGATGAAATGGTGAAGTTTAAACAAGGATCATGGGACTTTAAACTTAGTAATTGGTGTTTTGGAATTGATTGTAATTTATAATTTAGGAACTTGATACTTGTAAATATCTTGTAGTGATGTAACAACTTCAAATGACTTGTAAATTAGAACTCGAAATTTCTTCCTTGTATAAACTCACTTGCCTTCGTTATTGCGAATCTAATTCAACGTCCATCTTATTGTCCAAACGTGAATGTTTGTTGAAAGGTACGCACCTTGAAGTTTAAGTACAAAACTTTGAATTCTTTGTGCCTTGAAATTTATAAAACTCTTGGAAACCCTTGAAAATTGCTCTTGCGGCATGAGTGATAAAGTCTTGACAATTAGTCACATGAGGAACTTGGGTATCTTTGTAAGAAATTATTAATGATGATTGAACGAACTTGAAAAAATCTTGAAGGAGACTGACACGTAAGTGAATCAACGTGATCATGAACATGTCTTGTGTTTTGAGCATTGTATATCCTCTTAATTCCATAAGAACTTGCATTCGAAATAAAACTTGCATGCCATGCTCAATTCAAATGGAACTCAATTGCCAAACTTGAATTCAATCTCTTGATGAATAAAACATATGCTTTAAGAATATTCAATAATCTTGTAACATTAACGATTTTAACATGAGAATCATAGTCCTGAGAAAAAAATTATGGCATGAGTTGAAGTTAGAAGTTAAGAACATTCTAAATCAAGAAAATGACCTATGACGATTCGGTAACTTTCAAGATCTTCTAAGCACAATTTGACTCCAATATTTAAAGAAACTTGTAGATGACATTCCTTATGATAATGTAAAAAAATAATCGTCTTAATATCTTGAAAATTGAGGAAATTATGATTCTTGGAAGTCAGGCAACATTTACTTGAGATTAGGTCAAAGCCCAAAAAGTGACGTCTAAAGTATTCGAATTTTTTATGATCTTTCGCATATAATCGTCTCATGACTTGTAAAGTGAAGTTGGAGATGACGTCAAGGAGAGTCATACGCAAAAAGAACCACTCAAAAATATTGAATAATGAAGAAGTTACAATCGTTTGAACTTGATCTTGAAAATATTGACTTTTTGGTCAATACAGTTGATTTTCGATCATCCGAGCAATTGACTGAGCGAACTTGTGATGCAAGGCACGAGATTTGATATGAGTATTCTTGAATACATATGAAGCACCATGAAAGCCACACGAGACCTTGGAAACCAAATATTGCTTGAGAAATACCAAACCCTAATTATGGACCCAATGCTTAGAAGGAGAATGTGTCTGATCATTTCTTGAGCCACCTTGAGAATTTGAGAAATCCTATGAGAATATCTTGAATGAAAAATGGGAGGGAAAATTTTAGGATACACCACATACTCACCAGCAGATCCCCCTAGCGGATAAAGGAGTATAATCTTTTCCCGGCAATGTCGCCAACTTACGGAATTCCAATCTTTAGTAGATTATGATAGCAACACAGTTCAGAGGAATTCTCTTCCCCGGTTGAGTTTATTTCTCCAACACTATAAAATCTCCTATAGAATTCTCTTCTCTAGCCGGATTCAAATCCCTCAGCAGAGCATATTCCTCAACAGAGTGTTTCTCCATCAAGGTTTATTTCCCCAACAAGGTTTATTTCCCCAACAAGGTTTACTTCCCCAATATGGTTTATTTCCCCAGCGGAATTCAGTCTCCCCAGCTTGAGTCTATCCCTATGACTACTGTAAATCACTGGCAAAAATTCTCTCTCCAGTAAAGGGTGATCCAGACCACTATCCCCAGAGAGTTTCTACGAAATATGAAATCGGACCAAATATCAGTTAATCTTATCCTCGCCAGACGAGTTAGCATCCATGTCGAAAACTCGGCCGAACAACACCACAGAAGGTTATCCATCTCTTTTATCCCCAGTCATGGTATATAAGAATTAAATTCCCCAGTAGAGAGATGAACAACCAATATTCTTGAACTCTTCTCCCCAAGAAGAAATCAAATTCCCTAGCAGAGTTCCCTCAAACAGTAAGCAGAAATCCCCAGCAGATTGAAGATCACAAATATTCTTCATCCTCAGCAGTAGTCCGAGATTTATTTTCCTGATCAAGAATTCTATACAAAGCTACCGATTCACTTCAATTACATCTCACATTCATACATCATTTATTATAGCATATGCATACGAAACGCATTAGCACATTCACATTTATTTCGAGAGCATCATTGCGTAATAAATTACATATATCATGCCGTTGCATAAAACTAACTTTGTCTTTTTAGGTTAAGTTTGCAAACAGACAAGCATTTCCCTCAGAGACTAAATCAGACCGGTAGCTACTTAAGCATTTTCCCCGTGAGTCATTCTGAAAGATATCTCTTCTAGATGAAGTCGGGCGTAGACATCTTCTAGTGCATCATTTAGATGAAGTCAAGCGTAGATTTCCTTCTGATACTCTTTTTGGAAAAAATTCAGGCGTAGACTCCTTCCAATATCTCTTCTAGATGAGGTCGGTCGTAGACATCTTCTAGTGCATCATTCAGATGAAGTCAAGCGTAGATTTCTTTTTGATACACTTTTTTGGAAAAGTCAGGCGTAGACTCCTTCCATTATCTCTTCTAGATGAAGTTGGGCGTAGACATCTTCTAGTGCATCATTCAAATGAAATCAAGCATAGATTTCCTTCTGATACTTTTTGGAAAAGTCAGGCATAAACTCCTTCCAATACCTCTTCTAGTTGAAGTCGGTCGTAGACATCTTCTAGATCAGATAAAATCAAGCGTAGATTTGTTATGATTTTCTTTTTGGAAAAAGTCGAGCGTAGACTGATTCCAAATGATATTCTTCTAGACAAAGTCAAGCATAGACTCATTCTAGTATATCATTCAGATAAAATCAAGCGTAGATTTATTCTGATTTTGTTTTTAGATAAAGTCGAACGTAGACTCATTCCAAACGTATGTTCTAGACAAAGTCGAGCATAGACTCATTCTAATACATCATTCAGATAAAATCAAGCGTAGATTCACTCTGATATTCTTTTGGACAAAGTCGAACGTAGACTCATTCCAAATACATCTTCTAAAGACAAAGTCAGGCATAGACTTATTCTGATATTCCTATCAACAGTTACTCTGGATGGCATCTATAATCCCATCTCCGACGACTTTCCATCACCTCTCCAAATGGCATTTTTAAGTCCATTTCCGGTATAATCAACCAACAATGTTATTTCGTGCACAAGGAGTGCAAATTTATAGGCACTTAAGTATTTAATCATCTTCTAGCTTCAAGTCACAAATGGTAGACATGCCAATCTAACTCTTCAGGTTGAAG